TAATGCTACTTGAACGGATTTTGGACTTTAAATTTTATTTAAGCTAGGTATATTAATTATTTAGGAATAAAATAATAATATAAAATATATAAAAATATAAAAATTTCCTAATACACTGGCAAACTAAGAATAAATATTCTTTCTTTTTATGTGGTGCACTGGTGTACACCTAATGTATAAATGTACAAAAAATAAATGACCTAGTTATTTGATATATTATAAAATATATTAAAAAAGAATTGTTCAAGTCCGGTGGAATGAAACTCCGCCCCTGACACGTAATTACTGATAATGCAGTTCATGTTATTTTAAAATAATCAACTCGAAATCTGAACTTTGTAACGGACAGAGAATTTAACAGATAAAGTTTTCTATAAGGTTTCAAATTCAAGATTATTCGAACATTGTCTGTTTCAACGTTCATGTGAATACATATCTCTGTGACTGGCAGGGTAAGTTCACTCTTTTATATTTTTTTTCTTATCAATAAACTAAAAATATTAAGATGGCACCTCCATTTGATTTGGACACTTCACCAATTAACGAAGAAACGCGTAAGATTGCCGAAGAGGAATTGCGAGAGACACCCGAAAACATTGCCAAGGGTTTGCAGGAATTAAGGGAACTTTTGAAAAATGACGACACGATTTATTTCAAAGACGACGATGAAACTCTTATGATTTTCTTGAGACCGTGCAAATTTTATGCCAAGAGTGCCTACGAATTGGTAAGTTGATTGCTTTTTAAATTTATGTAATATTGTGTTGTCTCCTCCAACAATCCTATAACACAATAAAAGATAAGATACCGGATTTTGAATTACGTTCACATTAATTGCTTATTGGGTAATAGCACATATTTTGTCTAAACTAAAATGATGAAGTTTTTTATTGCTTTCATATTTAACAATAATAAGAAAATTTTATGTTACTTTTTTAATGCAAAATATCAAGTGTACAGTCAGTTTTGATAAATATTTTAGTAGACATAAGATAACTAATCAAATAATAATCAATGATTTCAATTGAATAACGTTAAAATATTGGGAAATACAGGGGACTCAGAGAGTTGAAAAAGTCCATTAAGTGGTAAAATGTATAGGACATTGATAAATAATAATCTAGTGCATCACCTTAAATTATATTCAACCATACAGCATGTCCCAAAAATAAGTTACGATACAAACTTGTGTTTTTTTAAATGAAACACCGTATGTGTATGCATTTTTGGATGTAGTCTTTTAAAACAATGTTTTTACCCTAAACATTTATTAATCGATTTTGCTTAATTTTAGAAATAAGACGTTTTTTTACAAAAACATGCACTTTTTAAAAATTTATTACACAAAAACTAGACAGCTAGAACAAATTTTTTCTTACTTTTGCAAAAAAGAAAGTACAGAAATTAAAGCTGTAGCAATTTTTTTGTGTTTTGCATTTGTAAAGATTAATAAATTAAGAAGTTTGTTAAAAGTTAAATAACTTAAAAAATTTAAATAAAACACTATATTTTTTATTTTTGCATCTAATAGATTCATAAATTAATGTTTAACGTTAAATATCTTTTTAGTTATTGATTATAAACACTTTAAAGTAAATAATTTTAGAAAAACAATTTAATAATCTTTGAAAAAACAATAAATAGCCTGTTTTATTTAAATTTTTTAAATTATTGAACTTTTAATAAACGCCTTCATTTTTTTATCTTTGCAAATGCAACACACTAAAAAATATTACAATCTTATAGCTTGTATCTTCTTCTTTGCGGTAGTAAAAAAAATATTTCTTGATGTTTTAGTTTTTGTGTAATAAATTTTTAAAAAGTGCATGTTTTTGTCAAAAAAACCGTTTTATTTTTAAGCAAAGTCGACCAATAAAAGTTTAGCTTAAAAACATTGTCATAAAAATCTACATCCAAAAAGGGCTAAGAAACAAATGGTGTTTCGTTTGAAAAAACACAAGTTTGTATTGCAACTTATTTTTGAGACACGCCGTATAGTTGAAAATAATTTTAGGAGATCGATTATATTAGTATCTATCAATGTCCTATATTTTTTTTTAATTTTACCGTTTGAAAGTCACTAATCGACTTTTTTAACTCGCTGGAACAGCCTGTAAATAAAATAAAATTCTCTACGTAATATTTTAATAAAGGTATTTCATGTTGTTTATAAAAAGGTAATATCGCAATCATCTTATTTCTTCATATTATCCAATTTTAAAAATTATGCCTTTGTATGGAAGTAGACACATTATAAAGTAATACACTAAATATTTTTAAAATAAAATAAAAGTTTTCATAGGATAAACATTACTGAAATTAAACCATTATCCATTTTTGTTATTAGATGAAACGCATAAGCGATTTTAAACTGAAGTACAAGGACAACCTAGAAAATTTGATGCCGGAAGACGAAAAACAGGCATTTACAGAACATAATGTCGTTAATGTTTTGACAAACAGAGATCATAAAGGAAGACGAGTGCTTTTGGTCAATTGCGGAGGTAAGTAACACGGTACAAAATCGTATTTTACGTAATAAAAAATTCTGAAATTAAACAAAATACTTTTTGGAAATCAAAATTTGAACAAAGTTCAAGTTAATTTTTACAAGTATCCACATTTATTAGTCATTATAAATATTTTATGCGACTCTATAACTATGCTTTATAATAAACAAATAAATATTCTAACCTTTGAACATTCATCTCCTAGCCGTGATTCAGACTAATAATAATTTGTAAGAACTTTACACATTATACATCAGGTCAAAGTATCTTTTAAAAAATATCAGGTAATAAACTGTTCTTTATAATTCCGTAGCTAAATCACACTTTGACTTTTTCCAGACTTGTTTTTTTTAATTTAGTACGACACTCCTTTTTTCTCTTTATTTTTTCTTCAAAAATTTGAAGCATAAAAGGCCCCCAAACGCTATTTATTTTTGTGTTTGTTTAGGGTCATGGGACACTTCGAAAGTGACATCGGATCAACTATTCCGAATTTTCTACCTAATCCACGAAGCGGCCGTTTTGGAACCTGAAACCCAAGTGCGTGGAGTTGTTGTTATAATGGACTTCAATGGTCTGGGTCTTAAACAAGCCTCTGCGTTCTCACCCGCTTTCAGTCTCAAACTACTTAGTTTTATTCAAGATGCAATGCCGTTGAGACTTAAGGAAGTCCACATGGTGAAACAGCCCTTCATTTTCAATATGGTTTGGTCAATTTTCAAACCCTTTATTAAGGAAAAACTAAAGAAGAGAGTAAGTTTGGTTCAATTACTATGCTTTCAATATTTTTAACAAAATATGTCGCAGATTTACTTCCATGGAAACAAAATGGCCAGTCTTCACAAGCACATCGAACCATCCCATCTACCAAAAGACTATGATGGAGCAATGCCGAAAATAGATTACACAGGGGCTGATTGGTACCCCTGCATTGAAAAATATTCTGACCACATACGCACTTATAACTCTTTTGGATATGTTAAAAAGTAGACTTATTGTAGCTCAATATTACAATCATAACAATTATTAACCCATTATATTGTTATAAAAAACATATTCAAGAATAAAGTGACTGTTTTGTAACAACCAAAGATTTCAAATAAAGATATTAAAAATAATTTCAACTAATTTTTCTGTAAACAACCAATAAATATTTTCGTATCTATTCGTACATACTGATAAAATATCTTTAAGCTAAAATTAACTTATTGTTTTAATAAATCAAGAAATTTAATCAAAGTTAAATATCACATGCAATGTCACTAATGTATTGATAATATACAGACTGACCCAACTAAAATTTGCACTCTCTCAAAAATCTTTGATTTAAAAAATGGTTGCATAGACAATAAAAGCAGCTTCGAAATGATATGACTCGAACCTTTCTTCTACTTAATTTTTTTAAGGAGTAGCTTTTTTAGATAAAATTTGGTCTCCCTTTACACTAAAATTGACCTGTTTTCCCATTTTTTCCAAACTTGAACGAAATCAGAAATTTTAGGAAGTACAAATTTTAGTTAGGACACCCAGTATGTTTGTATTAGTTGTGTGAATAATTTTATTTCTTTTACTAAATTGTAAGTGTTTGTTTCCTTACACTTTACTGATGTTTACCAAAAAAAACAATATTATCAATCACACTGAAAACTTTAAAACATGTGTCTATTGTATTTATTTTTTTTTATTTATTTATACTCGTAAAATAAAATATTTGTTGCTGTTCACCCAAGTATATAAAAATTAAATTGCGATATTTGGACCATGTAAATTTTAATAAAATGGGTTTTATCCCATAGATGTTTGATATAAATCGAGAGTGACTTTGTACAAATTTGCAAATTTGCACTGAAACATCTCAAGATAAAATAAAACATTTAAGATTAAGCACTAAGCATCATTGATAATTTAGTAAAAAATTGTTGACAATTGTATTGTGTTTTCACAGTACTTGACAACTTTTAAAACGCAAAAATTTTGTTTACAATTAGGTAATTAAAAAAAATACGTACATACAATTTCATTTTATTTAAAATCTACTCACTGGAGAATTTTTAAAAGAGTTAATACAAAAAAAGAAGTAAACAAAATAATAAATTAAAATAGCTCACGCTTCTAATTCTAAAGTAATCAATTAAGAGTACAACAACGTTACAATATTGTAACTAATATTGGAAATTAAGATTATTCAGCAGCGAAAGCTCTTACATCTCTACTACAAATTTCGACATCGAAGAGCCATCTACAGGATTCGTTCGAAGTTGCGACTAAACGCAAACGTAAACCTTTTTCATATTTTATGAAAAAATGAAATTTAGCATTGATATTGCCAAATAAAAGCACTTAGAGGTTGAAAATAATGTTATTTTGATTCTTTTCTACCTAAAACATGCATTAATAAAAAATATGTTTGTATTTCTGACACATTAATAAAAAATTGATTGCTTTCAATATGATTTAAAATTAATGTTCTAATTTATTTATAAAAACATTATCTACACACTTATTTTTATTCCTTGTCAAATATAAAATGCTACCTACATTCACTGTTTTGTCTTCAAATGTCTTTCATTACCATTATTTGTACTTCCCGTGTCAAGAGGTTAATTAAATTTAAAAACATTACAAAACGTGTTGAACGTTGAGTTACTCTATAACATTTGTCAGTTGTCGCATACACAAATTGTCCCTGGAAATAACAAGCATAACAATTTTTTAAATATTGTTATATGAAAACTATAAAGTAATGACTTAATAATATTGTTAATAATAAATAAAAGTTCTAGGTTGAGCAACAAATATAAATTTATATATTTTTTAAATTCTTGCATAAAAAACTTGTAAATTATTCTTTTAAATTCAAGTAACCAAAGCAAGAATTAAAATCTCATGCAAATACTTTTGTTTTGGGGTAGAGATAACGTTCAGAAAACAAATTTGAGCCCTGCTGCGATAATGAGTATTGACCTTTTAAAATCATAATTAAAATTTCATTATTATTCTCTTTAAAAGTACACGAAGTATGACTAAGAATAAGTCACAACACACAAACAATGAACTTGTCAATATCGTGTGAGAGGGGCGTATTTAAGCATCTGCTAGTGTTTCACATAACCCACGTGCATGAGCTTCAGCATAGATTGCTTGCTGGTGAACTGTGTTTAGTGTCTTTTTTTGTATTTTATTAGGGCAGTTCAAAATGGTCCTCCGTGTAGAAAAAGGACCCGACAATGTGCCATTTGTGCAATTGGGGGAATGCCAATTGCGACTTGACTTAGAAGATTTAAACGAGACATTTAAAGAACGTGCCAAAAATGAGCTTCGAGAGACTCCGGAAGTTGTCGAAAATGCTTTACGCGAATTCAGAGAATATATTTCAAGTAAGTAAAAAAATAATTTTAATTTGTATTATGCATTATAAAAAGATAAAATCCTGCTAGCTTCCTGCAGAAATGTTGTTATCGGGGGAATTTTATCACCAATGAAATAACCAGTTGTTGGTTGTAGAATTTTAGAATAGTTGTCGCATTGCAGAAATGCAATTAATAAAAACAAAAACAACGGTTTGTTGGTTCTTGAATCCAATTTTACATTGAACTTGACAAGCATTTACAAAAGGTAACACAACTTTAGTTTAGACTCACATTTGTGTATTCTCCATTGATAATAATCATGTGAGTGCTATACAATTTACAAAATAGTCGTGTTTAATTGAATCGACGGTTTTAATGAGAATTTGTTTAACCTTTCAACAATTGTCCGACCTTTTTATTTATTTTAAATTCATGTCGAGATTCGTGCTATGAACTCCACTGTAGGTCATTTACCAGCAAAGCCGCAAGTGTCAGCTCTGTAACTTCTTCGCAACATAAAATTTTAAAATCATTTTTAGAACGTAAACATGTAAATCTTATATTTGACAGAAAGTCGGTAATCTAAATAATGTTAAATAAACAAACATTGATTTGGAAAAAAATAATTGGGTATTTTCAGTATGATTTTGAAACTAATAGAGAAAATTAGTATTTCAGACAAGACTAAAGTTAACCTTGTACCGCGAGAACTAAAGGCCGGTATAAATTTCAATACATTTCACACACATATACAGTCAAAAATACAGGTTGTCAGAGCGAGTTGGTCAAGTTGGCCTTTAAATATTAGAATTTAAAGAAATTTATATAGGCAATTGATAAATACGGCTCTAGTGCATCGCCTGAAATTATTTTCAACTATACAGCGTGTCCCAAAAATAAGTTACAATACAAACTTATGTTTTACAGCATATGTTTCTGGCATTTTTTAATGTAGCTTTTAATTTCAATGTTTTTAAGCTAAACTTCAATTAGTCGATTTTGCGTAGTTTTTGAAATAAGTTTTCTTGGCAACAACATCCTATTTTTAAAAATTTATTACACAAAAAGTTAAAACAGCTGGGATTTTTTTTACCTGTAAAGAGGAAAGTACGAACTTTAAGACTAATGGTTTTAGAAAGATAATTTAATAATCTCTCAGATACAAATACGAAAAATAGGGCGTTCCATGTATTTAACTTTTAACAAACGTCTTCATGTCTTTATATCTGTACAAATGCAACACAAAAAAATGTTATAGTCTTGAAGTCTTAAAGTACCTTTATTTTGCAGTTGCAAAATTTTTTTTTAGCTGTTAGTTTACGTAGGCATAATTTTTTTTTAAAAAGTCCATATTTCCGTTTTGTTTCTAAAACTAAGCAAAATCGACTAATAAGAGTTTAGCTTAAAATCACCGAAATTGAACGCTACATTCAAAAGAGCCAAGAAACATGGTGTTTCATTTAAAAAAACCAAAGTTCGTACTGTAACTTATTTTTGGGACATTCTGTCTATTTCAAAATAATTTTAGACGATGCGCTGCACAAGATTAGTATCTATCAATTTTCTATGGACACTTTTTCAAATTTTAACATTTAAAGGTCAATAGTGAACTTTACCAACTCGCTGGGACACCCTATATGTTGCCTTCCTAATTAATTGAGTGCCCGAAAAAGGGCGAGAGTGTCAAAAAAATTACATAGGAAAAAAACGATATGTGTACAGGGTGAATCAAAAACTGTTCATTACCTAAATGTATGTACACGAAAGATGTATACAGGGTGTCCCCGGATTGGGTTTCCAAAAAGAAATTGTTTTTATCTTTGATTTTACACCAAAACTGTAAAGAAAAAACATTTTTTGCTTCACCTGAAAGGAGCAAATCTGTAATTGAAACTTTATTATTTTGACTCAGTGAAAAGCAAAGTAAATTTTTCTCTTGATTTTGGACTTAAAGTAAGAAATCTTTGGACCCTAAGTTTGTCAGTAGAATCCAGTTATAACATAAATAGTTTTTTTTTTATATCTACAGAGGTTCAAGATTTTCGGCTTTCTTTCATATAGGAAAAAAAGAGAAGTAACAGAATTTTTAGGTCACAGTAAAATACACGGTGTGTAAGAATAGAAAAAAATTTATCTGTAAAAATCTCGAAATTATGAGTTTAAATTTTGCACTTTGACTCTATTTATTTCTGTTGGAAAAATCTTTATTAAAGAATTATACATATAAAAAAATATACAGTATGTCTTTGATTTTACTCCAAAACTGCAAAGGAAAAACATTTTTTGCTTCACCTGAAGCAGAGAAAAATTATTTTAAGTCCAAAATCAAGAGAAAAATTAACTTTTCCTTCCTCTGAGTTAGAATAATAAAGTTTTAATTACAGACTTGTTCGTTTCAGGTAAAGCAAAAAATGTTTTTCTTTTCAATGATATTTTTTTCCTCTTGTGAACTCAATCCGGGGACATACTGTATAAAAATGTGCTGTTTAGTAAATTTAATAAATTGAAAAATCTGTTTTAGAGGAACCTGGCTTACATTTACCCCTAGACGATGTCAACTTTTTACTAAAGTTCTTGAGACCTTTTAAATTTTATCCGGATAGCGCATTTCGTGTGGTAAGTATAAAAGTGATAATGTTTATTCTTTAAACGATCTTTAAACTTTGTAGTTGAAGAAATTTTATAAATTCAAACTTAAGCATCCGAAATATGGCGTAAATGTGACGCCAAACAGTGTAAGACATGTTTTTGATAATGAAGTATTTGTTTTCCTACCAACAAGAACTCCGTCAGGATCAAGGATAATGATCGTTAATGCAGGAAGTATGAAAGTCTCAAGTAAAAAAGCTCTTTTTCAAGTATTTTTTTCAAGCTAAATGGAATCCAAAAGATGTATCTGTAGCCGATATGTTCAGAGCTGTGATGGTGGCCATAGAAATTGCTATGTTGGAACCAAAAACACAAGTAGCTGGTGTTCATGTTATATTAAATATGGAAGGATTTTCCTTAAATCATGTGTATCAGTTTTCGCCAACTGTAGCAAAGCTTATGGTAGATTGGGTACAGGTAGGCCAAGCTTTGTTATTCATTATTTTCCCAAAATTAAAAAAAAAACTATTTCAGGAATGTGCTCCAGTCAGACTGAAAGGAATTCATATTATAAATCAGTCGATATTCTTCAATATGGTCTACGCTATTTTCAAACCTTTTATTGGAGAAAAACTGAAAAAAAGAGTAAGAAAATGACATGTTAAAGTAATAATAAATAAACAATTTTTTGTAGTTGTTTTTTCATGGTTCTAATAAAGAAATTCTCTGCAAACATATATCTGCCGATGCCTTGCCAAAAAATCTTGGAGGTAGTGGAGTTGTACCAGAATATCCAGGAAAATTGCTTTCAGAAATGTTATTTTTTTACGAAGAACTTTTTGAGAGTAAGTAATCATTCCTACTGTTATTCACTAACTCTACCATAAATCATATTTTTTCTAGTGTTTTACTAATATTTGTTTTTCAAAAAATATTTTTTGTTTCAGGATTCAACAGCTATCGGTATATAAAAGAAAACTAACTAGTTGATTGGTTTATATCTATGTATTTTTCAAATTGAATTGAAATGATTTTGTTATTTAAATATTATATAATAAAATTATAAAAACGATCAGGTGTTTGAAAAATTGTGGGTAAAAAACGAGACAAAACAGCTTTTATGACGGTTTTATTCTTGAGCAATAACCAGTGTTCCTTTAACACATTATAAAAAATTAAGTTATTTTTAAAATACAACAAAAATATCAACAATTTTCCTATTAAAACGCACTACTTCATGATGAATATAAAAGTAAACAATGCACCCAATTAACTATCTCGGAATAAAAAAAAATAATTTTTTGGAATGTTTTGACTAATACCTCTCTAAATCACGGTGTTCGCTATTTTTCCACTTTCTTGTTATAACCGTAACTGTTGATTGCTGAAAAAACAAACAATTATGACAATTATGAAAGACCATTTCGAAAAAATACCTTCATATTCTTGGTCACACTGCAACAGGAGCTCCAACCACTGTGGCCCATTAATTCTAGGCAAATTTAAACTTCCCCCATAACATTCAGGCAAGCATTTCGGGCTGAGATGTTGGTGCAAAGATTTGCGGTCAGTTCCATGGAAAATAATCCTGTTTCTTAATTTTTCTCGCAAGAACGGTTTAAACAAATTGAATACAATTTTGAAAATGTAGGGCTGGTTGACAATATGGATATTTTTAATCCTCAATGGCACACTATCCTGAAAAATCACGATTTGTAAAATTACAACAATTTCTTTAAAACAGTACTTACTTGTAACCAATCAACAATCCTTTTGGCAAACATCGGCGTAAATTTGGTCGTTTGTGATAAAGACAGACCGTCCATATCAAAAACAACAACAGCACCACAAACTTGAGTTTCAGGTTCCAGCATGGCAAGTTCTAAAAATAGGACGGCACCTTTGAATACCTCGTCTAGAGTGACTTCGCTAGTTTTCCATTTTTCTGAAAAAAAAAAGAAATTTTTCAGTATCGGAAATGATTTTGCTATTGTGCTTACTTCCTAATTCCAGTATCAGAATTCTTCTTCCTAATTGATCTCTGTTGGGTTGAACTGTCAAAATGTTCTGTTCGAAGATATTTTTCTCTTTACTAGGCACTAGACCATTATATATGTCCGAATGTTTCACTTTAAAACTATAATATCTCTTAATCTGAAACAATAAATAGTCAAGATAACACCGTTTATTTTTTTAAATTACTTACCAATTCTAAGGCACTTTCGGGGTAAAATTTACATGGCCGTAAAAATCTGATAAGCCACTGGTCATTATCCAATGGAACATGTAAATCTTTTTCCTCTAAATAAAGACTGAAATAAGTAAACACAAATTTCGTAACATAAAATCCATACCTTTGAGGAGATCCTTTAAGGTGGAAACTGCTTCTCTTGAAACATCAGGAGTCTCTCTAAGCTCCTTTCTCGCAATTTCTTTTGCTTCTGGTGACAAATCCTCAAGTTCAAGGTGTAGATTGTAATCTCCAATTTGAACTGTGGGAAGTTGGGTCATTTCTGACAACATGTTTGGTGCAACTGGAAAAAGAAATGTTATTTCTGAAGCCGAGTAAAGTATTGAGTTTTCACATTAACTGCTTTGGAAAACTACTTCAAATTACAACCAGTTACAGTTCTACTAATTGTAGAATTTATTTAAGTATTATTTAAATGCTATTTAATTGAATATGACGTAGGAAACCAAAATTTGCATAATTATGTTTAATTTTTCAATAATCGAAATATGATGCTGACGCATTTTTTGTTATCAAAACCGTAAAAAAATCTAATCATGTCACAAAAAGGTTGAGAATTAAGATATTTGCATTTGTTGTTCAAGAAAAGTAAAAACGTCATTTATTTCTTTTTATTTAATTTGTATTTTGTGAATTTTTTAAGTCTATATCAATGTCACTTTATCGATTAGGTGTTGAAGAAGATAAAGAAGACACAAAAAATGGCCTTGGATTTTATTTACAAAAAACTTTGTTCAGAATCTACGTCTTACATAACACTATTAGTATGCATCCAAAGTTCAACAGTAATTGTTAATTATGAAAGAAACCTTAAAGAAAAACCTTGAACACGAACGTCTTGATGTTCGAAAAAATTTGTGGACTAGTGCGTAGGTATATAAACAAAACAATTACTAAAGTCACACTCATATTTTTATAAATTTTCCAATTGAAACATGATTGGTTTAAACGTTCTTTTATATTATTATTAATTGCTGAAGGTTTTATGATTGTACATTCTGAATTATGTCTTTGTAAAAGCAATAAAAAATATAATTTGCTACTAATTAACAAATTATGTACGTTGACCATTAATTCATTATTTTGCGATGTAAAATTAGTATTTTGATAACCATTAACACACCTTTTAATAAACTACATACAAGTGTTTTTTAAATTGATAGCTTTTAATTCATTTTCACTTTATTTTAATTGATTAGTGAAAGTTATTATCAAATGAGTTTTAGTGTTTGCTCCAAAAAGTTTATAAAACTTGGCACAAGTTTGAGAATTTTAAATTTGAAAAAACAAGAGTATTACTTTGTGTTTTATTTCATTATATTGTAATTAAGACCGGAAATGTAATTCATATTAAAAACTCATTGTTATTATTTCCAGTTTTACCAAATAGATGTTGTAAATTCGTTATTCAGCGTTATGATTAATAAATAATGTCAAAAGAAAAAAAATATTAGAAATAAATCATCCTCAAATTATACTCGTAACTCCAAAGGTTGATTCTAATTATCTTGTTCACATTGATTTCTTTTTGTTTACTTCTGCGGCTAAAGATAATTAAAATAATTGCCCTGTTTTAAAACAGAAATAGAACAGAAAATTTTGACATCTTCAAATACTTAAACGCCGTCAAATTTAACAGTTCCCACTGGCGCTATTTATTCATAAAAATAGAAAGTGGTTTGAATCCAGTTTTTTTTTGTCTGCATGATACAAATTTAACCAATTTGATCATCAAATCTGGTTTTTAAGTCGAAACAACAAAAAAAATTATAAATTTTTACAAAATCAAAATATTTGTACTATACCATGGAACATTTTAAATAAAATCTTCTTCCACTAATTTGCTGACGTCAATAAAAGTAACCCTGACTAATAGGTAAAGGTTTGGGTGGGTAATACCAGTTGTTTTGAAATGGAAATTTTGTAACAAAGATTAAAACCTGTTTTAAATATTATATAATATGCTTAATTAATTATTTTCAAACAAAAATATCACTTAAACGTAAAATAAAACTTGTTTTTAGTTTGTAATTTCTTAAAACTTTTGGGAAAATAAGTGTTCTTAAATTTATTCAAAGTCAAAGCAATCAAAAAAATTAAAATACAATAGCATTTTCAGTCGCTTTATATTTAAACAATACCGGCTTCATAAAAATTAGTAAAAACCAAACATATAAATTACCGATTAAATAAAACTTGAAAATACTAAGATAGGTAAATATTTGACATCTATAACTACAGGTCATTTAAACACAAGACAAAAACTAACAAGGTTTTTTTTAAAAAAATGCATTTTTGTAACTTCTCATGCAAGAAAATTGTCTAATAGATAACTTACTCGGCATCTTTGCTTTAATCACTGATTCAACAGCCACACAACTTTCTAAGCAGGAGAGAGAACCTGATCTCAAACTAATCTTCTGTTGGTTTTCTTGCAGGTGCTAACAAATTGAAATGACATGCGCAGGATTGTATGTTTTTTTATTGCATTTTGCATTTGGGGGAAAGAGACAAGAGGAGGTCGTCGAATTGGGTTCTTACGTCAGTCTAATTAGTAATCGTGGTAAATACAGTACATAAAATTGTGCAAGTAGTAAAAAGATGAAGGTCGGATGTGCTGACTGTGTCAAATAACCTCGCGCTACACACTACCCAGAAAATAAATAAATTTATTTTTAAACCTCTATTGCTCATTTTAATCTCTAGTCACTAATGTCATCAACATCCGGAATTTTAATATAGTACTTTTGATGAAATTGAGAGAGAAATTGTTAGATTTTTTTGAGGATTTAATTACCTTAAAAGCTGCAATAATTGGCATGTTTCACATGTCTAGCAGTAAAGCTAAATAATTTAACAAAATATTTTACTACCTTAATTACACGTACAACAATTAACATATATCTATTAATTGTTGATTAAAAACCTGTATTAGTTATTTGAATCAATTGTCCCAAAAATTGAACTTTTTTATAAATAAATTATTATTTAAACTATCGCCAGATTCATATCTAGAACTAAATTTGATGAAATGAAAACAAAACGAAGATAAAATTGTGTCACCACAATTTTGAACATTTTTTTTAGTCAAAAAATAAGTTTCGTACAAAACATGAAATTAATAACTAGAAGTAATAAATAATAAATGAATGACGGCAGCCAACAATTCACTAGATTGATTAAAAACCAGTGACTCATTTTTTAAAATGACTAACATTCCTATAGCAAAATTGTAGTAAAATAATATATGTAATATTAAAAAAACGTAATAATAACTATTTAATTTGACTTTTTGGAGATGAAGCTAAAATTAGATATACTTCTTCTTATATAAAGTAAGAACAAAATAAAAGATGGAGTAAAGTAAACTATATAAAAAAGCATTTTCTGACTAGTTGTTATTTTTTTTTCTGGTTAAGTAACTAACAAAAACAGACAGAATGTTGTGAACTCTTCTTTAAAGTATATAACCTTGATAGATGACGCGAAGAACCATTGAAATCAACATGCATACACCTCTAGGTTGCTTTCCATTGAATAGCTAGTGATGCAACTCTACGATTTGACTCTTTTTGTAATTATGTAAACATACTTGTGCAACTTGTTAAAAAAGGTTTCTGTAGTTTAATACAAAAAAAAATGCAATTTGTTATTGTAATATTTCTCTGACAACACCTCTGGATCTGAAAAGATCTTTCTTCTTCGTTAAAAATATGATGTTTGTGGTCAGCAAAAAATAAAAATAAAAAAGCAATCAGTGGAGAAAATGTATTTAAAAAATATAATGTCCTACTCTGTGATTTAAAGAGTTCAGATAGAAG